TTTTGTATGATGGGAACACAGAGTTGTATATAAGTAAATAGAGGGGCAGTACATACGACCTGCGCGTGGAAAAATAACTCCAACTACAGTGGCCAACTTTTAATGGCGGAGCCGTTGGGACTCATGCGCAGTGCGTGAAAGGGAGTCAGCACAATTTTTGGGTGCATTCAGTTACATAATCACAAAACAAAACAGCAATAACTTTTCAGATGCTTCAGATTCATTTGTAAATAAACAGACGCTTTGGAGTAATAATTTAAGCATGCCCATTACATTATACTCTTTACCGCCATTTCAATGTTTAGTAGGCGACGATCTGTACATAAATAAAGGATATTTTAAAATGCTCCTAGAAAAGTGCAAGAAAAGATCAAATATATGGGTGGAAGGAAAACTCTTCGCAAGCAATTGTTGAAACTTGGTTTTCGATACAAGAAGTGTCGGGACAAACGTAGGTTGGTAATGGAAAGAAGTGACATTGTAGTATGGCATCTCGTTATTTAAGAAGATTAAAAGAAAATGAACAACCTGAATGTGACAATTAACCCGTTATATACTTGGACGAAACCTATATTCACCCATCGTACGAAGTGAGTAAATGCTAACAATCAGATGAAGTATCGGAAGTTTATAATAGGGCTGGTCAGAGGTACATCGTAGTATGCTGGTAGTTGTTCTGGTTTTGTAGAGGATGTCGCACAGTAAATCGGGGGATTATTACGATGATATGAATCATACCAACTTTATGCAGTGGTTAGAGAAGCAGCTTATACCAAATTTACCAGCAAACTCACGCACCTTATCAGTGTTCAAATAAATAAGCCACCAACAATGAATAATCGTAAGGAAGTGATACGTTCTTGGTTAGAAGCAAATAACATTCCTACGAGAAATGAATTTATTGACAATGTACAATTTATTGTGAACACCGGCAGTTCCAATGATGATTAGTGGTCAAGTGACGATAATGAATGAAAAAAGTTAAAGGTTGTGTGTTAATTTAGTCAATGTGAGTGTTATTAATTTCAATGTGATTGTTTCAATAACTGTCCATATTTACACAGCAGAAGTGCATCAGAATTGTAAATTGTGTTGAACATGAACATCTAACAATCTTAAATGTGTTTACGTTTTGTAGAAATAAAATTATTAATTTTACTGTTTCCCCTTGAAGTAATGCAACTCATATCGCGTGGCCCACTTATTTATATTTAGTAGAGTCAAATATTGCATGAGAATGTACAGTCTAAATTTCCAACGTCCTCGGACACGCCCTGTCAGGAACCTTCTGAGCGTGGTGCCACTGTACATACCTTCTGCCGATGCTCCATTTTTGAGATATTTGAGTTATTGGCATTTGAGGTTTGTCGACTTTGTGGCTACCCGTATTCAAACTGTGTTTTCGGCATTGCACACCTGAAATTTTGTCCCGCACCAAAATAAAATTTCAACTTATTTTATTCTTTCATTGCTTATTTTTATACTCACTGAGCATAAATAGATCTTTAAACTCGATCGCACGACAAATATACGATTTCCTTTATACCAGAATCTCAACTCTCGATTCTGATGTTGTAAGCCCCTTACCAGCTTTGTATTGTAGTCTACTGTATTAAAAGTTCTTAACGATTGTAATGTTTCTTATTTATTCAAGACACAGTGTTAACAACATCATTCACCACACATTGAATTTCTTTTCAATTTTTGTTGCAATGAGAAACCATATTATTCTCAAGCCGAACCTGCTTTAAGGATCATTTAATTTGAAGCCGGTTCTGTTGTCGATTACTGCGCACACTCACCAACGGCCTGCGCAAGGTTCAATTGGAGTCAATTTTTCGCTACAAGACTGTCTCTCTATTTACTTATATACAACTCTGTGGATGGGAACCTGTATTGTTGTTTTTTTTGATACGTTTATTTTCACATCACTGAAGCAGTAAACCGGAATATAAAAATGGATGTTAGAAAGCAAACAGTTTTTACAAAATTCTACCCAGTGCCAACGACACTACTTTCTTGAACTTTACGTCTACGTCAATGTTCCAAGTACTCTGGAACTCAACCCCACGCATTTTGTTCCATTTCACCATGCAAGCTTACATTTATATAAGAATTGGTGGTCGAAATTAACATCGTAATATTTCTTCGATCTTATACACAGAAGAAAATTAGTGATTAGGCCTCGGATTAGGCACGTGTGTCCATCCTCACCATCATCATCAAAAGTAAAATTTCTGCATCAAATCATTAAACAAAACCGCTGAAATTGCTACTAATTCGCTATTCAAAGCATTTCCTGCACTTGAAATCGTTTCTTTGAAACGTTACCATGTCTGATATTGCAATGGAACTATCATATTTAGATGACAGCGGTAGTACGGTTCACGGTTGTGTCCCCATTTTCAAGTCCACAAGGCTTTCTTGAAGAGGATTGTCGTGCTCATGTATATTCCCAAACTAGGTTGAACCATGTGTAGCATTTTGCGTCACGCAACTAAATTAATTCGAAAAAAAGCAATCTGTAAACCAGTTAATTGAGTCCGTTCACCTAATGATTGATTAAAGTACCACCTATGAAGTAATCGCTTAATTGACCTTTGTATATATTACCCAATGTTGCGATCTTGTGCTGATTATTGTCATAACGTGATATCGCTTATCGTGGTATTTGTATTACAGTATCATCAAACTATCCACATGTTACGGCGGAATTTCGTTGATAAGAAATAACGAAGGCTAAGAACTTTTTCCGTCTTTTTTTAGTTTTGGCACAGGTGCACGGCCAGTCACTTGTGGAGGTCGTAATCCGCTGCTAATTCAAAACTTTTACTATCTTTTTTTAACCGCAATTCAATACTGGCAAAAAGTATACGATAATTACAAGGACATTTGCGATTGAATTGAAGTAATTGGTGGCAGTTATTGAGAAGTTCTCTTCCGTTTCCTGAATCTGGAGTCCAAGGTGTTCTAGGTAAAACCCAGAGAGAAATTTCGCCCACTTCTGATTTGCATAATTGCGAATTACTTACTCGGCACTTATGTAAACGAGTTCCACAAATTTTTCTGTCTGAATTTTCGCGCAACTTTTCAAGGCTGACTGTCTCCTCTATTAATGCTAAAATACACCAAAGTGACGTAGGGATCTCCACCGATATCGTTAATCGGCTGATCGTGGGAAGTGCATTTATATCTTTTGATGATAATTCATTGTTAGGCTTTCCTGTCAACTTAATGTGTGCAGTACGTAATTCACAAATGACTATTATCAAATCTAAGAATATTCTACTCGGTCACTTCATTCATTCACAGAATCTCTGTGGTCACATCGTTAGCAAGTGCCGATGTAGAGAAATTTACATGTGGTTTTAAAACCTAGTTTTAGAAGTGAGTGGATGGATCGTAATTTTTTAGTAATAGGTATGTGTTACATTTTGCAAAATTACGTTTTTCACAAATTGAAAAATTGTTTAGACTTTGAATACCTATCACTTGTCTAATTTATAGTCGCGTGAAAGTTGGACGAGAATAAATTATCCAGTAGTAGATATAAGTGGATTAAAATATCAGATGCTAGAAATTTGCAGTATACAAAGGCACTTTGAACTTTTTACAAAGTCACAGATAATTTCTACAAAAACTCCTACTCACTTATAATGATAATATCAGTTTTTTCATGATTACGCTTCAAAGTTGTTGCTATATTGATTTTGTAATGGTTATTCATAAAATTGGCATACAATACTGTCTTTTGTCACATTCGCCTGGCTACACCCAGAGCTTGATCTACTATCATATCATATCATAAGCTAGTTACTTTAACATCAACCCTAGTAGCCTTTAGAACTCAGATCATCACTTGAATTTGTTCAGTTCATAGAAACTTTGGTCCCGAATTAATAGTCTACACGAAAGATTCGATTCTCTCCATAATTCGGATTCAAAGTTCAGAAAGAGATGGAATTACCCATATACTGAGCAGGACAAAGCATGGGGTAGGGGGAGAGGAGCGATTAACTAAAATAAAAATCTTCGGAAGGAATGGGTTTAGTCGGGTTTAGTGATCATCTTTGTAAGGTTCTTATTTCTTAAAGAGAATAAAATTTTCATGTCGAAAGGTATGCCATTACCGCCCCCATTCCCGTACAATCATGTCATATTATACTATAGTCCGCCTTGACTTTACAGTACAGGTTCTTAGTTTAGTAAAACACTTTCCGAAATTCCCACGGGATGGGAATGATGAAAAACGGGATTTAACGTTTTAAAGTCGAAACTTCAGCAGATCGAGACTTGACATTTAAAGCGTAGGTTTTTTTGAAAGCGTACAGGTGTACATTGACATTGACTAATAGACGGTACGAAATCGCCGGGAACGACTATAAAAAAATAGTATGAAACAACAATAGTTTTCATATTAGAGTCTTATGGAATTATAATATAAAGGGTCTCCCAAAATTTAGGTACTCAAAAAGTAATTTTAATAGAAAACCGATAACAGTGGCAATATAGTCCTCTGTGATGTGTCTGACGAACGTTTACCATCCACGCGAGCAATGCGCTCCTCCGTAATCTTCACGTAGGGTCATAGAGGCGCTCTGTCGTTTTTTTAGATCCGCCAAGTATACAACCAAATTTTTATGCCTTAATTTGCTATTGACATGTACCCTAAACAACAAATTTTTACAACTCTAATCGTTACGCCTATACCTTATGTGTTGAAACATGTTAAATTAAAAAAACGAATCTTCCTATGTAGCCTCTCTGCGGAGATTCCAAACACTCAGATGGGCGGATTGAATTCACGCCAGTATTTGATGTAAGTAGTTATCCTGATAAATATTTCTTACATATACCAATGTATTCTTAGAATCCTCTTTTAAAACACTGGTTCTACTCTTCATGGTCTCAACGGAAGGAATTTATTTCTAACTAGGTACTACCGAAATCAGTTACTCATAAGGATAAAATGGAACGTCTGGAAGAGACATAGGTATCTATTGGTGATGGCGAATATCTTAAGAACGATGTGTCGGAGGAGCGTATGCACAAAGAGAAAATCAAACATCTCGGCCAGACACATCTATTGGTGAGGGTGGTGTGAATATATCAATGTGGTCAGGGTCGTCCCGGCCCATTGTTATGAACAATTTTGTGGAGAATTTCGATTTGCCAAATTTGAATGCGGTCCAGACGGCGCCCAACACCTTTTTTTTTAGAGAATAATCTCCTTCAAGCAATATGATTCACCTTTGGGAAAAAGTAAGAAACGGGTTCGCTACGAAACGGCCACGCTCATACGTTTTATATCGTAAACAAAGATTAGATCTTGAAATATTTTTGGAAATTCCTTAGGATCGTTTTACAATTCTCTTTGATCATTCTTTTAGAAATATAATTTCTGGGAAAGTATCGCCAAATCGGTCTTTGCACTTCTATATCAATATTCAACATAATGTGGAATATTTGGTATTTAATGATTGTGCAATTCTTCTTGGAATACATTTCTATGACTGACTCACAGTTCAAATTACGGGAACCGAATTGTCCTATTTTTAAGTTGGCGATGAATTCTATTTGCCATAACCGAGCACTGTCATAGGAAGATCCTGATTTCCTAGTTTCGAGAATTCAATATTTCATAATCAGTGCTATTTTTAAACGCGGGATCGTCATGTCGATAGGATTTAAGCTGACCTATCTAACTTTTTTGGACCAGTTTCAAATGATATGCCGTCAGGCGATATCGTCCGTCTGAACCAATTATAAAACGAGAGTAGGTACGTAGACATTAAATGCATATTTGCAATCCCATTTCTATAAGGATACTCTGTGGCAGTAGTGGTAATAGTTACACCATTGTAATGCAATTTTATCAGATAAACATGCAAAAATACGCGAAAAATTCATCACGCTTTCTCCATTCATGTTTATTTATGGCGATCGTTATTTATAAATGACACAACTCTCCAACTTACGCCACACGCATAGACTTTACCCGCTGTCTGTAGTATAGTATTTCGTAGTAGGGAGTAGGATGTTCTATTTCAACAACATTAAGCGAAAATTGCAATTGGTACATAATTAAAAAATAAAATACCTGAAAATAAATTTCATTTTCTATTTGGCTAGGAACATTGCAGGGCCGCCGATAAGGCGGGTAAGCTGGGGCATTTGCCACGGGGCCCGGCCAAAAGAGATTTTGAAACCTGATTTTTAATTGTAAGTATTTTTTAACAGAAATCTGCATATGCATATCTCTATATGAGAGAGTAGAACATAAAAAAAGCAGATTTAAAGAACCATACCAGTGAGCAAAATTTCCTAATTACGTCACGGTGGCAGAAGGTTCGCTAGGTAAAAAACCAATTGAGATCTACTATGGGTCAAGATCGTTAGATCAATCTCGGCACATAAGCTCTTGAAGCTCAGCTTGCTAGAGAAAATAATTTTGAGCGAGTGATATTCACTTTTGCTAATAAGAAAATTCACATAGTTAAGTTGTAATTTGGTTATTTGAATTCTAACAATTCATAATAAATTATGAAAATTGCTGTGTCTGTATGAAAATTATTCATTCTCCTTTCAAATCCAAGGAGTCAAGATTGAAAATGTCTAGTTTAAGATAAGGGCGAAGGACAACAAAAATTTCAATTATAGGGGCACGGTCAAAAAATATTCCCGGGGCCCGTCGAGGCTAACGGCTACCCTGGTAATATGCCGCGACAACCTAAGGCAGATGGATGGGATGGAATTAGTGTAATATATGTATATAAATATATACTGTCACTGTGAAGAATATTGCTTGACTAATGTGCGATGATTAGGGTTGCCCACATCAAATCGAAGTTTGTGATAGTCGATAGTTTGTCGTTAAAAAAATGAGCTTATGACTTGCGCCCCTACCCCTAAACCCTGCGAATTTGCAACGAATATTTGGTATGCTCCATTAAATATTCTAACCGAATTGTAAGGAGCCTTGAATGCCCCTTGGTTTTACAGAAAAGTTTCTAGCTATGCAACTATAACTGATATCGATGTTTCTTTGTTTTCTTTCAAAATCATTCTTTTTTGTTAAGTACCTACTTAAAATAACTTAAAGATGGGGTACGCCTTAGCTGAAGGAACAGAAATAATTTTTTGTATGGATCTAAACACCAATGTGCGCGTAGTGGTCGAGCATTCAATGAAACTTGTCAGTATCAGTATGTAATAAAAAAGTTAGACAGGTCGGTCAATTTAGGGAAAATCTCACATGACGTGAGATATCATCAATTCGGTTGCAAAATTGACAATCGTATCTAGCTACCTGAAAAAGAACAAGTTTTTTGCTATACAAGTTTTACAAGAATTGGGAGAAGATGATTACGATCGGGGAACGCCCATCGGGTTCTTGCTTTGTCGGGAGTACGATGATGTCCCTGCGCCTTTAGCATTATCTCTTACCCTGATGCCCCCAGACCATCCTAGTTCGAATACCCGATGTAAACCTTAACTTTTGTTTTGATATTTTACTTTAGTATTATTTTATTCAAGTTATTTATTTAGTGTAGTGTAGTCAAAATTTAATTTTTATTGTCTTTATTCAATTATTTGCATATGTTTTAAGTTTATAACAAATTTTAATTTTATAGTTCAGTATTACTACGGTAATTCCCGCCAGACTTTAGTTACGATCCTAATCCTTCTATTAAGTGTCCCAAATTCTGTGATCATAAGTAGATTAAATGGAGGCACAGTTGCGCAGTTTGGGGTCGAACTGCTTCGAACGTGAAGGAATCCCGAATACCGGGAAAAAAACCGAAATTCACTAGTTTCTTTGTTATTTTTTTGTGGTTTTATTTGGAAAGATTATTGAAAACATATCATATAGTTCTCATTGCAACTTTTTCTTCCATACAAGCTGGCATAATTAGATTTTAAAGTTCGACGTTCCGTTTTTTTGGGCCGTCCTCAATGTTTATATTTTGGAAGTGATCGCCATTAAAAAAAAATGATGTATAAATAACACAGCTGCATAGTTACAAAATACCACCCTAAACTGCAGAACAATAAAGCAAAATTCGCTTGAAATTTCTAATTTATGCTTACATGAATAATTGATTAACACAAAATAAAATGGTGTAACTTTATAGTCATTGCGTTACTGATTTGTGACTCAATGTCGGACAAGTTTTTTAAGCAGGTTTCGCACAATTACGCGTTGTTGCAGTAGAGATAGATAAACGTCTGAACTTGATTCATAAATCAATGACGCAGCGCAAATCCTTCTCACTATTAGTGCTACTTACTGTGGGCATTGCTAATCAATTATACTCCATACGCACCCACTTCCATCGCCCTACATCAAAATCAGGGATCCTGTCATTTTGATGTTCATGTTGATAAATATTTAAAAAATTATATGCCATTTGTTAAAAGGATTAAGTCAAAAACCTTAAAATTTCATTTATTTTTCCCGCTGTGGTTCGGAAAAGTAGTTTACCCTTAGTTCGTGCTATAAAGTAATTTGTTGTGCAGTACCTATTTAATACACCATACACCTATTTTCATAAGTTGTATGTGATATTGCAGTTCGGAGACACGCATTGTTTTTAATTTGCTACAAATTCCCTTTTTCAACTTGTCTTTGCCTAGTAAAAAGTTGAAATAAACCAAACATTAAATTTCTCTATGAAAATATGTCTCTATTAGTTGAAGCAGAATTCTATTCAGTCCCGACTATAGTAAGGATAAAGATTAATTTATTATTAAATTTAATGTTCACTTCTTTATATATTGAGAAGAGAAACTATTTTTATTATCATTTTTGCTGGAATTTACTTTTTCGATTAAGGTCTATCTGAAAATATGGAATTTGGCAAACTGCCCATTTATTTGAATGCATATTTGTACAGTTCGCCTGGTTTTATGCGAAGAAATTGCACATTCGAACACAATTTTTTAAAAGGAAATATTTAATTTTTAATCGCGTGCACTTCTATAATTAATTTGTAATTCTGGGTGAGATCTACTTGGTGCTTACGTCAAACTTGACATTTGTAAAAAAACGACAAAATGTATAATTAAACGACCCGATCATTCTTCTAATGTCTTAGAAAGCTGCGCGTTGACGTCACTATTTAAACGTAAGTTCCGTTTCGAATTAAAAACTAATTATAGTCAAGTTTTGAATAAAACGGATATTAATAAATGCAATTTGATGCATCTAATAGGCGTGCCAACTACTTATTTTTAGAAAACTAGTTTGTGTACTTTTGTAATTTTCAATGCATATTACACTGTGCATTATGTGTTACTATACCGATTTACCTCGATGACTAGTGTTTACTGGTAGAGATCCATCCCTTAAGTATCTTGAAAAGAAAACTATGTACCTGTGCCTTATAGTAAGTTCTTCACATGGGAGTATTTAACATAAGAATGACAATCATGTAGTTTTAACACCCTCTCGATATCCATCTTAAGAGCTAATCGATCCCTAACCCTAAAGCTGCAAACTTTGCTTTGCATTGTATCAACTTTATACCAAAAAAGTGTTTTGGATATTCAGAAACTCAGCTTAGTTCACTCCTAATGGGACACCCTTGATGATCAACTGATGATCTATAGGTCAATGGTTTTCTTTCAACCTACACATCATTGAACCTCCCATGATATTTTGAACTGAAGATGTTAAAAAATGATGAATACAATGACTATCTCTACATTAGGTCCATTTTAAAAGATGTAGATAATTTTCGAAGGGACGCTTTTGTAAATGCTTAAAAAACAAGGCAGTTTTTGTTGACCGTTTGCAGAACGCTCTTAAACCAAAATGTATAATTTACATGGTCCTGCGGTGCTGACATTGCAATAATAATTGAAGGTCATTATGTTTTACTTTGCACTGGTTAAGTGTGCCAATCTATCTTCAATTTGTAAATATATTAAGATACTATAACTTTATTACATTACACAGGATCTGAAGGCAATGGAAAATTAATAACCACTGTGTTTACTACAGATAAACAACTATTTATGGCATCGACAAAAACATTAATGCATGTTGGCTATAGGGAAGGTGTTAATCACAAAATTTCCTAGTTCCTTCTTTATAATGGTGTGTCTCTAAAATTACCTGAAGGCCAAATTGAAAAGAATGAGTGCAAATAAACAATCTTCAGAATTAAGAGGATGGGCTATAAATAAATAAAAAATAAAAGGATTCCACATTCCATTACCTGTTAGTGTTCATTCATTCTCAACGTATTAATTTAAGTAGTAACAATCAATAAAAACAACATTTAATTTGGCAAGTAGCAAAATAACTAAACGTTTGGCGAACGACCTCTATAATTGATGCCTAAATACAAACTTACAAATCAAATTAAGCAAATTTAAAAATAGCTTTATACTGATGTAATTAGGAAGAAGTCGCAAATGTTAAAATCATCGATTATACAGTTCAATGATTTGTATTTTGCAAGTAATTATTATACGCGTTTCAGTTCCACGAAATGGTCAAAATTTAGTCTACAAAACAGTGTTTTTTAATGCATAAATTTTTGTAGCAAAGCATGCAGTAACGGCCACAACTAAATCAAACCTGTGGAGCAGGTGATGAAGGAGATCTGTAAATTATTGCGGTAGATCATAGCTATCAATAATAATTGACACAAACAGGATAGAAAATACTGATTTTCGAGTTTTTAGTGGCGGGTAGACTTAAACGGACAGAGAGACAGACTTCATGATGAAGCATTTCAGCCTACTAGGCTTTCGGTACGACTTGGCTTCTAGCTATTCATATTCTGTTTTGCGTAGTAACATACCTATTTCTAGAAATACATACTTCGGCTCTGAAGAGTAAAAAGAGTAAAAAATTCCAAAATTATGCAACAGAGCCAATGTGCTGATCAGTACATCAGTACATTAATTGACGCCCTTCGCATTGTATTTTCAGTGTACCTAGTGGTAGGTAGGTAAAAGTGAGTAGTGGCTCTGTTGTAATTCCAATGGGAAAACTCAAACGTAAACCCTTCGTGACTCTTAATTTGCAGCATAACGTCTTGCAAAATGACAATACATAATTGAAGTAACCATGAAACTATAAAATGTACATGCAACAGTATCATTACATCGTTCTTATTCTCATAATGAGTTTTCTAATAATCACGCTTGTAAAATTGGTTTTTGATGGTCTCTTAATAAAGACGATTTTCAAGATTATCCCCAAAGAAAAGCTCTTAGTTTACTTAATTATGAAATGGGCGCCCCCTTGACCCGCGTATAACATCGCCCTTGCCGCGTCGCGACGCTGTCGTATTGATTCTGTCCGTAATACTTGGCCATTACTGACATAAATTATTACTTTCGATCCATGTAGCTCTAATGTCAGGTCATGTTTCTATTAGCATTCTTTGGAATAGCTCATGAAGTAATTACGTGAACTTATCGTTTATTAACTTTGCGGGGGCCATTATCTACTATCGATCGGTACTGTTACTATTTCGAGAACAATGTACACTGAAACACCGGTAGTGAGGTTTACAACCCAAAAAACGATATTGACGCGTTATCGCAATTAAGTCTAGTCACATTATTTTTAATTAGGACTTGACGAAAATTAATTTGATATGGAAATTTACAAGATTCGGTTTCCAATCGTGCTTTTGATAAGAAGTACCTAGTCATCGCCAGCATAAAATAGTATTATCATTGAATTTTAAATTCAATGGTATTATCATTAAGTGGTCATTTATGTTTACTACGTCTTATCTCTTAATATAAAATTGGCAAGTCATCAGCACTGAGACTGAGACTCACTTCTAGTCGAGTGTATAGATGTCATAATGGGCAAATCCATATCTGGGCATTCCACGATATCCACAATGGGATTCAAGTTCCAATTTTGTTTATTGCATCGGTAATAGATCAGTAGGGGTTCTGTGTTTATGTAAAAAGACCACAAGATGTTTATGATCACCGATAACGTAAGTAGTTGACCCCAGCAGCCACCAATTTCCCCCCCGACGTATCGGGAAAATATTTTTGTTCATCTAGTAAGATAGCACGAATCATATAGGTACCCACCATTTATTTCAAAAAAATCTCACCACAATGTCGTACCTACGTCAAAATTTGACGCCTAATTAAAAAATCTAACCAATACGTAACTTATTTGGAAATATGATAAGGCGAACGTTATCTTTAAGCAGCTTACATTCGGAACGCCACAAACTCTCTCATTCATTCGCATTCGTCCGGCGGAAGGACTTGGACTTTTTCGCTGTATATCTTTAGTGATTAATTTTCTTTATAATTACAGCCCACAATGAAAAACGTAAGTTCAGAAGTCATTCATAAGGACGTGGTGATCATCGGTAAGTAGAAGACGGTTTTTTGAACCGTTTTATATTCTTTTCCGTTAAGGAAATGGGCCAAGCGGGCTGGCACTTTCGTACATGCTATCAGGAAACATACCCTATTTAATTTCAACGTCTCATCCAGATGACTTGTTGTCTGCGCGCCTTGGCACGATCAACAGTAACAGCTTAGTACACCAGGATCTACTTGAATTGGCTAACGGCCTAGAAGGAAGGTCGACCAACCCAATTTCGCTGCTATTAGACTCACTTGCACAACCTTACGCCGATATGGGACTAGAATTAACACCATTAATCGAATGGAGAAAAGAGGGAATGGAGAAAAGAGGGAAATGAGGTGAGAGTTTCAAATTGATACTTGTACGTGTTTACCACTAATGATATTCTAGATTGACCACGTGGTGTTGGGGAAGGGACCTCCTGGTGGTTCCTGGCACGATATGGACCCGAACATTTTAACCTTATCCCTTGGCACTTGGATGGCACTACCCGGTTTACCATATCGCGCACGAGACGGCTCGGAAAAGCGCGCCTCGGCCGGAAATGTCGCTAAATACTACTCGCAATACGTTAAAGAAATGCAACTGGAGAAGTACTTCAAAACGGGCATATGCGTCACTCGAATTAGGCAGCTAGACGAACCGTCAGTCACTTGCGGCCCGGAACCGAGCAAAATCAAGAAAATGGAATCCGATGGCGAACCTCGAAGGCCGAAGATCTGTTCTCTATCCAACGCTCTTAATTTCATCCGTTTGCGCGCGAATAGGAAATGTAAACGACGAAGAGATGCCTTAGTGAAAAATGAGCAAAGTCCCGATAGAAAAATACGCGAGGTTGTACTAAAAGCTCCTAATCAAATCAATTGGCGGTGCCAAGAAGCTTTAGAAACTGTTCCTTTTTCTTACTCTTCTCCTGTAAATAGATCTGTAAACGTTTCCTGTGATTTTGATAGTTTTCAATCTCCATGTGATAGTTTTTGTGGTAAATTTTTTAACGAACACGGTAGCTTTTTTAATCAAGTTAAAAGTTCGTGTCATTCCTCAACGGTGCCTCACTTCTTAAATAATTGTGATAACGATTCTGACAGACTGAAAGAAAACTGTGATCCTGCCACATTTCGCGGCTCTAATCCGAAATGGTTAGTGGAAACTTATGACGCAATCACTGGCGGCTACGTTACCTACACGTGCAACTACTTAGTTTTGGCTAATGGCACCAGCGACTTACCCAACAGATTATCATTGCCGGAAAATCAAAGAAGTCCCCATTGGATGGTACACGATGTACGCAGTTTGGAACTGAATTTGGACCGACACGCGGCTACTAATTCAAATCCTGAACCTGTATTGGTGATCGGTGCAGGTCTGAGTGCGGCCGACGCCATCATCGCCACAAGATGTCGAGATATTCCGGTTTTACATCTATTTAGGCATAAGAATGGGGATCTTGGGAAAAAACTCCCTGAAAACATGTACCCGGAGTATCATAAGGTAAATTGATTTCTTGTCTAGCCAGTTTTTTTCCATATCTTTTGATGCGTGTGTGGTCCATCGTTTAGTGAACACGAAGTGTATCCAAATAATTAAATGATTGTTACATTTCAGGTTCATCAAATGATGCAGGATGGAGGTTCAACCTACCCTCTCTACACTGCGCTACCGGAATGTACACTAACAGACATAGATAGTGAGAAAAGGATAGTATCAATCAAAACGAAATCTGGAGAAAAGTTAACCTTCAACGTATCATTCGCGGCAGTTCTAATCGGCGCTCATTCAGATCTTAGTTTTGTACCAGACAACTTCAATTTAGGAGTCAACAAGAATCTACCAATTGACAATAAAGCAAACAACATTGACATAAATAAGTTAAATTATTCCGTTACAGGTATTAATAATTTATATGCGATGGGTCCACTAGCTGGTGATAACTTTGTCAGATTTATTCCTGGCGGTGCATTAGCTATAGTATCTGATTTGTATAAAAAATATGGGTATTAAACAATTCATTCCAGTTGTTATTGCTTGGATTGTGACTTTTCTGTAAATATTTCTTATAGGTATCCTGTCCATTAGTTGTTAATTGTGATCATACTTTACACAGTTTAGACTAGTTATTTATTCAAAAAGTAGAAAGTTTAAAAGAAGTATCTACTCTGTAATTGTATTTGAAATTTATTTGTGAAACACGTTAATAGCATCGTATTATTTTAAATGTTACCTATCTTTATTTTTGTACTTTGTTAAATATATGTTGTTACATGTATCTATCTGCTTCTTTAACGACACGTAAGGTGATAAGAGGGATATCAGGTTTAGATTCACATGGAGCACTATTAAAAACAGTTAAATTGGAATTGAAAGCATTTTACAAAAAAAAAAGAAGAACGTTTTTTGGTTACTTTTAAGTACCTTTTTACGGTTCATCGGCATTATCATTACATGGGTCTACAGTCATAAATAAATTGGTGGCAGGATCAGTGTATAGAGATATAAATATAATCCCTACTATAATAGCGTATAAGTGTAGCTGAACCAATGAAATTTGAACTGAACGCTCGATTATGGTGGTATTTATAACTCAACTTATTAGGACTAAACCTTTAACCCTTGTAAATGTAATCTTTTTGGATGATAAGATAGTGAAATGATGACACCGAACTTCATGTGGGGTTGTTGCTGAAGTAGTGCAAGGCCGCGCTCAACACGTGTGTAATGCTGGAATCATTTTAGATGGAAATGAGGCTAATCTAAATCCCCATAAGAAGCTTAGGGGCGAGGTATCAACTTTTTAATCTACTATCTCAAAAGGAGGATTTCTGACTTATTTTGTGAATAAAGCACGTAGTAGACTCCTCGTATCGTATCCACATACAAAATGTTATTACATTCGTATTACAAAAATATAGTGCATATACCACAATTCTCAAGTTAATGATAAACTGTTTAGTATACTTAACAGTAAACCTTTTTTAACTTTCGATTAGATTTTTATGTAATAAACCACTGAGGGCATCGAGAGTACACTCATAAACTTTAAAAAATGAAAGCGATAGGCCAATCCGCGTAGCTAAGTATAATAAGCGTACCACCAGAAGTAGAGGGCTAGTGATTTGTATTTCTAGGCTCTAGCCCCTTTTCTGATCGTATTGTCTGGGACTACTACGGTATTATTGTCTGTCCGGTTTTGCAGCGGGGGATAATGCTGAACTTGACTTGAATTTTAACAGTATATTTGCGAAGACTGGTCCCTAACTGGTGAAAAGGAATTGAATTAGACCGGTATCAACTTTTGCGAATAGAAAACTCACAGAGTGGAATTGTGATATTTCGTCAGAATAGTAAATCAGATTGTGGTGAGATACCCCTCCGATTAGGCAACACACCTTACATCTGAAAAGAACAGCGATATGGAAAAAAATCGAAACGCTCGATACTCGTATAAGAATCGTGATAGATTCCCAGCGTTCGAGCAGCGTGATGCGTATTTTTCTCAACGTTTATTTTTTAAAAATAGTAATAATTTTATTCTTTATCGCACTAACCATCAATCTTTGAATCTGCTATCACAATGTGTTATTATTTAGGATATTAGGATTAGCAAACATGATAGTATGTAGAAGTAGACGCCCCTACGTTTAAGGAAGCAAAATTTTCACAATGTTGTTAGCGAATACACTAGGAATATTACCAACTTCTACAGTTAACAACATCAGATCTCTGGTTTTTACACCAAGGGGCGCCTATAGATACAATTTAAGCTAAACCTTTTTTTAAATGAAATAATCTGATGGAGATAAAGAAATAGCATACAAAGGATCTGAAAATTCAAGTAGTCTCAAGAACTGATTACTAAGAAGAAACTGGAAATTCTAACAAATCTAAGAATAATTCAAAGAACGTTATAAATTCCGAAGAAACAAAAGAATCCGAAGTAAGTATCTGAAGACAGGGAAAAATCACAACCATGTCAAATATCCCAAACAATAGAATGAACTAAAAAACCTACACAAACTAAAAAATCCTAAGTTTCAAGAAGTGGAAGGATTTAAGAATCCGAAGGATGGGAACAAGACTTTTTTACGCAAAAATAGGGATGAAGAGAATGGTGAGGGCACAATGTAGAGCTCACCGCAAACCATACTTCCGTGAACTTCAAATTATGTCGCTACTGCTACTTGAAAATTTAAAAAAAATGTTTCAAAACCCACTCATGAGTGTTGCCACCTAACACAACGGTAAATGCTGAGTAACGGGAAAGTATAGACAATAGCAGCTATTAATTAGAGAAAACCTGAAGTCTCTAGGTGGCCCAGGGGCAGAGATCTCGAGGGAACAGACAGACCGACAGACGACGGAAACTCGTTACCTCAACTTCGTTATGTTACGCTAAAAAATGTTTGCATTTCCAACTATAAACCCAAAAATTCACGTTATAGACTCATATTATTGTTAAATCTTAAATCTTACAAATAAGTTCCTATAATGTGAAAGATCGGTGAGTACAATGGTTATCAGAATAATTAGAAAAGAAACTTGGAGGAGGTTGGTTTATGATACCATTTCTAATTGGAAACAGAACTAGAGTATCTATTGCTGGTTTATTTGAATCATAACATGCTAAAAGCCTTATTTGTATTCCAATTTTTTTGGGAAATGGTAGCAACGCATTATGTCAATGCCTCAATTGTCGGCTAATAATTTAAATACGCACTATCACTTGAGTATGCTTTAATTTTAATTGGTTAATAGAAACAATTTTAGAGTTGTAAAGTACTGTAGCAGTGTCTAATGCCTAAAGGTAAGCGCCTCTGTGATTTTTGTCCTTGTCGATTCAAAATATTCTAATGTACAAAACCGTTGAGTGAAAAATTATTGTTATTCAATGGTAAAACACATTTTTATGAGACACTCGTGTAGTCGAGTAGGTATAACAGATATGTAGTGTTCATTGCCGTATCACCAGGCGGGAGATCTGGAGTTTATTTTATCATTGAGTAAGAAGTCAGACAAGATAGCCTATTTTTAGCGCATTTTTGCAAAAATTTTTTTTGTAAAAAGTAGCTTTTAATCTCACTTTGGCTGGCTGGCTGGCTGGCTGGCTGGCAGTAAATGCGCGCCCGTAGAAAAACGCTTGTAAAAAGACAAGGAGTGTACATGTAATTATCGGGACCGTGTAATTAAGAACGTTAGGGATGGGGCTACAAGATTTGGAGTCGACGACATCTTGGACGCCATCCCCGAGCGTATTATACTAACCTGGAGATTTTTCAGTTTTTATCTATCTTCTTCTACAGTTTTTCTCCGATTGTTTTCAAATTGGTGTCGTCGGTAAGATCTTGTCAACGCGCACAACTCCTGCGTGGCCGAATTTTGTTTTTTTTCCTAGGGGCGAAATAAACCACCTTTTGCGCGGCGCGCTTCGAGGGGTAGTCGACTTTGGGCGCCGAAAAGTTTCTTACAGCGCGAATCGCGGTCTCTCTTTCTCGTGTCACTAATAGAAGGTCGAGCTATGTGAAGTACCCAAAAGTTGAATACGATTTTATGCCGGGATTTTAGCGAAATCTACCAAAATGTGAATTACGAATGAACGGGACGTCGGAACTGTGTATCGACAAAGGGAATGTGGTAACCCCCGACGAGATCTTACTGATGGTGCGGAGTCGAAACTTCAAATCCGAATTGTTGCGGGTGATCAGAAGTGGGTGTCGACAAAGGGAATATGGTAACCCCCAAAGGATTTTACTGATGGTGGAGTCAAAACTTCAAACGCGAATTGCGAGTGCACGGTAAGTGAGAAAATGGTACCGACAAAGTGAACGTGGTAGCTTTCGGCAAGATCTTATTGATGGTGGAGTCAATATTGGCTAATAAAACACTGATCTGCCACACAAAAATGCGCTGAAGTCCCTTCGATCTCACACGAGGACTTTCATCATTTTTCTTTAGACAAAAGAGTATCTACTCTTTCAAGCAGGACATTTGTTCAAAAATTGCAAGATTGTTTTGAGACGGAGTTGATTATTGAACAAAGTCAAACATTTTTACATTTCCTAAGTGAATTAAAGATTATCCATCGTATTGTTGCAAATTCTTAAAGAAAGGAAAGGCACTGTTCAAGTTGTTGGAGACAATTTTGAGGTCGATTCCGAAAGCAAGCCGATGAAATGAGAATGAGTATCTCAATATCAACAATACATTGTAAATGCAGGACAATAAATAACCATACTCACCAGAATGCGGAAAAATGAAGTTACTTTTTCTTGAGAGCCGGATGTTACCTACAATAAAAGGTACAAAAGGCCTAAAAAAGTTCCAATGCCATCATTTTCTTTGCCATTTGAAGGAATACTTGCACTGAAAGTATTATCTTTATTAGTTGCCAAAAAGGTTGCAGTTTTGAAAGCACACATACATACATACGAGAATCAAGACAAAATATATGGGGTAGCGTATTTATCATTGATTGATCTGCCCCCAACTGTTCACTAAAATTTCCCTTAAATTAATTTTTCACCAAAAATTATAATAATAATAATATGGTCTTTATTTCCACATATATTTTGTAACAATATATCACACATCGCATGGGGCGAGATTCAGCTCACGTTAGCCGCGTGCTGTTCTACCACCTAACCCCATAATTCGTTTGTTGTTATTTTAATTATTGGTCTTGCATGTCCACTGCTGTACGCTTAAGAAATAATCATAAGGGAGGTATTGAACTATTTTAAATCAGTTTTGTCCGAACAATAATAACGTACGAAGCTTATATGTCGAAACGCAGGTAATGAAGGCACTTTGAGGTTCTATGGCAAATCATTCCACCATTTCACTATATTGTAAGTAAAACGACATCGACCGAGTTCAGTGGTTAACCGTGGTATGGTAATGTGGCCCCTAAACCTCAAATTTAAGTTATGTACATACATCTGTTCTGAATGTAATTTTGTGATATAAGTAAGGTGGAGTTTTTAGTAACAAGATTTTAAAGTAAAGAACTGAATAGTGCATATAACGTCTGTTTAACAAATTTACCCAATTAATATCCTTCAGTTTATGTGAAACTCTATCAAATTTCCGTATGCCAAATATTAACCGTAAGCATGCATTCTGAAGTCTTTGGATCCTGGTTTTATCTTGTAAATCAATACACGGACCATATACTACATCACAATAATCCATCTGTTATAAAACCAAACTGTTGCATATGTT